GAGGACTCGAATGTATCTCACAGGCTACAAATAATAATCTCAGAATTATTTGAACTAAGCAGTATGCAGCTCAGCATAGAATCTTGAAGCAGACTGTGATCTTTGATCCTTCCATTACTAGTTTAGAAAAATGGGAAGCATAATTTTAAGGGAGTAAACCACTGCCCAAGTCCACCCTACCCTAGACTCTATCAAGCTATATCGAGCAGGAGGTGATGTGACAAGCATTAAGCTGCTTAAACAGAGAGGCTCTGCTCCGTTGTAAAAACACCTGGTATACAATGAAATTGTAATACTGTAACTCAAATGTCTTCAATGGGAGTATATTACAAGGCAATTATTTTCTTTTGATGAAAAATCACTATAGTTTATATTTTTACTCTACTTTTTGAGATCATTTTACAATCACATGAATTATAAGAAATAATAGAGATTTTTAAAATTCTTCTCCCCATCCCCCACAATCTTAACATCTTGCAAAGCTGGTGTTGGGTAAGCTGAGATGCGGCACATTTCCATCACCACAAGGATCCCTTTTACCAGGTTGCCCTTTCATCCATCCTACCCCACACCCACCTGCACCCTTGGCAGCCACTGATCCATTCTCCATTTCTATAATTTTGTCACTGTATTAATGATATAGAAATGGGATCAGACATCATGTTACCATCTGGAACTGGGCATTTTCACTCCGCAATGAACTCTTTGGAGATCTATGCAAGCTGTTGGATACCTCAGCGGTCGGCTCCTTTGTCTTGCTGAACAGTGTAGAGGTGCCACCATTTGTTTAGTCATCTGGCCATTGAAGGACATCTGGTTTTTTACTATTACAATGAGAACTACCATGAATGTTGGTGTACAGGTTTTTCTGTGTTTCCGTTTCTTGGGAATAAATGCCCAGAAGTACAATTGCTGTGGCGATGTTGCCACTTTGTGGCAGTATTCTACATAGATCCATCTCTCAAAACCGTCCTTTTTGTCTTCTGGAACTTGCAGCTTGTCATCGGCAAGGCCCCCTATACCCTCCACCTCTGAACTTTTGGCCTTCATTTCTCAGCCCTAATACTCTAGAAATGCATATTTTGGTGCATAAGAAATTGCCAAACATTATCCCTGGGTGGCTATACATTTTACATCCCCAGCAACAATGTATAAGTGATCCAGCTTCTCTGTACCCCTGCCAGAGTTTGGGGAATATCACCATTTTGTATTACAGCCATTCGGATAGCTATGCCGTGATTCACTTTTAACAAACACAATGATCCAAAGATGAAAGAGAGAGACCCCCCACAAATATCCGAGAACCTTAAAGTGTCTTCCTAGCCCCTTAGTGAGATAAGTGGTTATCTCAAGGTGCACAGTAAATGGGCATCTGCCCTAACTGAAGTACTGGGTAGAAACAGAAGAGCACTGTGTTACCGTAGTGAAGAACAGCTACCACGCTCCAAGAGTAAATAGCATGCTGGGTGAAATTCTGGAAGCACTAGCTTCAGTGTTCTAAGAGCAAAGCAGGCACAGCTCTTCTGGTCAAACTTTTACTGACAGTACTAACGAATATAATCAAATAAGGAAAAAAGTAAGACTTATAACAATGATAAAGGAAGAAAAAGATATTTGCAGAAAAAGATGAGATTGTCTACTACACGCACAAAATTAGGAGAATCCATAAACTGTAAAGATTTAAAGTCCGTGCACCAGATTGTTGGACCGAATCATCAGAAAACCAGTAACTTTTCTAGACACCAACAACAAACAATAAAAGTGTAAGTTTTGAATAATCCCATTCCTCATAGGAACATAAGTATCTTGGAATCAACCTTTTTAAGTGCACAAGAACACGTGTAAAAAAAATAACACTTAAGCAAAAAACATAGAGATATTAAATGATGAGAAATACCACATTTATAGTTAAGACACAACATTTTTTAAATGTCTCCTTTCCCCAGATTAATCTATACACTTGAAGCAAATTTAACCAAAATCCTAACAAGATGTTTTAGCTTTTGTTCTTTATTTTCAAAAAAAAAAAAGGCTCTTTTAAAAATGCATGTGAAGAGCAGCTTGTCCCAGCTGGCTCTGGGATCTGTGGCCTCCAGGACAAATGGTGGGCCCTGCACTCAGGACAGCCTCATTGCTGGCCCCTCCGCAGTGATGCCTAAGTTCTACTTCCTGTGGAAAAAAAATACATATACAAGGGTAGGGTACCAAAAACAGCCAAGACATCTTTGCATATTGGGTGCAGAAGCTGCCTGAAGCTTTGCGTAATCATTCTGTGGATGGCAAAGTCCCACTCCCGGCTCCACAGCACTAGCAACTGAAAAGCAGGTTTCCAAGCTCAGGGCACTCCTGGGCCAGCCCTGCAACACCGACAGCCTCACCACCTCCGTCTGCTGGGGTCGCCATCCAAACCGGTCCTATGAGGCCCTACACTCAGGTTCACTGAGTCACCCCAGGGAGCCCACACTACCCAGGTCCTCCCTCTTCTTCATACAGCATGTAAATATTCTAAATAGCCCCCATCTCTCAGAACCGTTCTTTTTGTCTTCTAGAACTTGCAGCTTGTCATCATCAAGATCCCCTATACCCTCCACCTCTGAACTTCTGGCCTTCATTTCTCTGCCCTGATGGCTCTGCTTCACACTCATCTCAGATCAGTATCCCTCCCACCTCCCTAAAACCCCTTGCTTTCACCAGCATGCCATCAACTGTACGACTGCAATGTTAATCTTAAAACATCTCTGGAATTCATATCCTCCTCCGGCAACCACTCGATTTGCTCTGCCCTTTTCTACAAAATTTACCCCAAAGAGTTTTTTGGACATACTGTTCCCATTACCTGTCCTCTTTGTCTGTCTGGAAACTGCTCTATAGACATTCATCCTAATGACGATACAAAACAGCCCTTTCAAGGTCACCGATGACATCCACATTGCTAAGTCAAACAGTTGGTCTTTCCTGAGCTCTCAGCAGCACTGGGCAGAGCTGGACACTCCCCGCTCCCTGCACATCTGCCCCCAGACAGAGATGCTGAGCGTCCCCCTTGGGGTCTCCTCTGACCTGGCCGACCATCCTGTCAGCCCCATTACTGCTTCTCTAATATTCCTGACCTTGAACTGTTGGAGTGCCCAGGAGCCAGTCCAAGGACCCCTCTCTTTTCAGGCTGTCTACATAATTTGCAAAACCCAGTGCAGAATGAAGACGCTGGCCCCTTGTCTAAAATTCCAATATAGTAGCTACAAAGCATTAAAGCAAATGTAGGCATCTTACATGAGCCAGGACCAGTGCAACTGCATGGTCACTCACCCACTGAGCCTTCCTGCTGTGGACTCTTGAATTTATCTTGTGCAGAACACTCCCTGAACTCTCCACTGGTGATTTTCAACCTTCCTCATCTCGTGGCACATATAAACTAATTACTAAAATTCTGCAGCAGACCAAAAAATATATATTTTGGCTAATCCGAAAAAAATAAATAGGTGTAATTTTGATCCAGATGGCTGTTGTCATTCTTTATTTAACAATCTTAAGTAAAAGAGGTCAGTGCCTCTGACTAAAAAGTCAGGTGCTGCACATGTTAAAAATTCTTGCAGTACCTCAGTTGAAAATCACTCCAGGCTCATAAACCCAACTGTCCACTAACCATCTCCACCTGGCCCTCGAGTATGCACTTCATATGTTCAAAACCAAATTCCTGACCAGCGCCTTCCTCCCTCCGCAAAGAGGGAACACTGTCCTTTCTGCGTCTTGCCCAAACCTACAAACAGCACATTCTTAAAGTTTCTCAGACCAAAACCCTCCATGCCGTCTTAGATTCTCATCTTTTACTTAAGCCTCACATCCAAGTCATGAGCAAATGCTGTTAGCTCTACCTTCAAACATATGGAGGACGTGCACACTCCCCCTCCTTCCCCCTGAGCATCGCCACGGGAACCATCTGGCACCCAGATTACTGCTGTCCCCTCCCACTGGGCTCGGCTCTTGCTCCCCACAGTTTAGCCTCAACCCATCAGCATCCCTTCCCCCCGGCCCCGTGATCCTTCTCACTGGGGGTCCCCTCAAAATGAATTTGAAGGTGACCTTACATTACTAAAATTTAAGAAACACTGATCTAAATTACCTGATAAGCTGTTTCCCTCTCAGCTTATCCAACTACAGAAAGTCAAGTCACTGGTTTTTATACACCTGTTTTCTCAAAACAAGAAAATTTACAAGTGACCCCAGCTCCAAATCACAAACTCTGTACCTTGCTCACGTCAAACATCTACCTACAAACTTGCCGAGAGTCCTGAAATGGTAAGAAATCTGTTTTTGAAGCTCCCCTTTGGTTTTTCTTCACCTAAATGGTCTGGGGAACGCGTCCTGTATCATAATAACATCCGACTTAATAAAAAAGACTGTGGTTCCTAAATAAGTAGTAAATAAATAAATAAATAAATAAGACGTGAGGGGTGGGGGGATGCCGTCTGTAACACCCAGTGGATCTGGCAGCCCAACACCCCGGCGCGCCAGCAACGGAACGTCTGCCGAGCAGGAGATGTCTGCGCGGTACAGGAGCGCAGGGCCCCAGGGCCCCGGGAGCGACGAACACTCGTGTGACCCTCCGCTCCGTTCGAGCTCGGCGGCACACACCGCACGCCGCCAGGCCGGCCGCAGCAGGAAAAGCGGGAGGGTCTCAGCGCCCTCCCACTGCGCGCGCCCACTACTTCTGGGAGCAGCCGGGCGCCGCCGCCCCTCCCCGCAGCCGCCCGCGTGCGCGCCGCGCGCATCCGCACTGGGCGCCGACCCGCCGGCTCCCGGCCGCTCGCCCCGCCCCCTCGGCGGCCGCGGGGCTCACGGGACGCCGCGGTGCAGTGGCGCCCAGCCCCCCAGGTGAGGGCGGCGCCGAGCTTCGGGGGATCCGTTGGCCGAAGGACGGCGAGGCCTGGAGGAGGGCGGGGCAGTGTCACCAAACCGCGTCCGCCCACCCGACCCTTCCCCGCCCCTCGACCATCCTCTCTCACCTACGGACGAGTGGATCCTGGACCTTCGCAGCAAGGACATCTTAAGAGCTTTGTCCAGGCGGGAGCCGTTCAGCATCTCGCACCACTAGGGGGTCGACGCAGTCCCCGGCGAGTGGCGGAGGCAGCGTGCAGGCCTGGGCGCAGGGCCGGCGGCCCGAGGGCCATGGGCGGACGATCCCCGGGTCCACTGCAGGCGCGGTCGGGCTGCAGAGGCGGCTGGGAGCGCGGGCGCCGGAGGCTGCGTGTTGGTGCGGCAGCGGCCGGCCAATGCGGCGGCGCCCGAGATCGCCTCGCTGCAGCCCCGCTGGCCCGCGACGCGGCGGTGGGGGAGGGGTCCGGTCTCCAGCGGGGAGTCGGCGGGTGGTGGACGGGGGCTGGGAAGAACCTGGGATGTTGCGCAGTACTAAGGGCTTTGGTGGCAGAGAAGGTGATCGGGTGGGATTGTTGGGGTGGGGGGAGGGTTGTATGGATAGGCGTCTTAGGGGGCAGTTGTAGGAGAGGAGATGGGCGTCCCTCGGTTTACCTTTTACTGTAGGTGCCTCTCTGGTGCCTGTTTTACCTACCTGTCAGTTGTCATTGGAGTGCAAGTGACTCCTAGGTATAATAGTTCAGAACTCATAACTCTTCTTGCTCCAGTATCTCTTCTTCCATGTCAGTTTGGTGGGATCGATGTATGTTCACGGGGACATTATTTCTCAAATGACTGAAGTATAGCCTGGAAAAGTGCCTGGGTCTTCAGACTCCTCGCCCCACAATCTGCCTAGAAGCCTAACTAATGGCATGCTAAAGTTGTAAAAAAAAAAAAAAAACCCTAGGGAAGCACTTACCACACACACATATTGCGCACCCCAACACACTCACACCTTGTTCCATAAACAAAATCATTGAAAGGTGACTTGAGGTGACTTGTCCAAGGTCACTTGATCTGCTTTTGTTTTTGCTTTTTAGTTAATGTTCTAACTGCTATTCATTCTTCTGATCACAGTTCCATAAAGAAAAAAAGAAAGCCTGTATGTTTTTAATATCTGAAGAAATTCTGACTTCAGATTGAAAATCTGAAGTGCTGCATTTAACATTCGCTTCAGGGACTGAGGAGGAGAGCAGAGTTGAGCACAAAGGAAGAAGGAGCACTATGGCCCCCAAACTCTTCCTCGCCAGCCTCTGCCACGTAGGATTTTCTTAGGAAAAAACGCAAAAGGGAGAGACATATTTCTTTATGAGCTGTAGGCTGGCAATTTTAGCTTCAAGTAAGATTCCTTGCCTGTCTGTTCTGGGTCCACAAAATAAATATTTCTGATAAGAAATGAGTCTTTAGCAGGCAGTGGGCCTTCATGGCTGCTGAGAGTGATCTTACAGCTAGTTTAGCTTAGCAATGAGTTTGTCAAATACTTTGTCCCTAATGAATCAGTAAACTTATTGACAATAACCCCTTGAGGATCTAAGCAGAACAGAAGGGGACTTGAGTGAAATTCCAACTTTAAGGTAAATTGAAAAAACTTGTCCATAACTAGATGGGGACAGAAAAAGTAGATAGATGTTCTTTTTGATTTTTACAAACAAAGCCGATTATGTTAAAAACAGAACATTTGCTGTCCACCACAGATTGATGCAGTAATCCTACCCTGATTTATTGCAACCCCAACTGCATCATGAAATGGGGTTGTTACTCCTGCTTTCATATGTATCTTCCAATAATCAGAACTGTAGGGTGTTAAGATACTTCAGTTGTACACCTTAAAGATCAGAGAATAGGTGTCAGAAGTGGTAGATGGATGTCTCACTTGAACTTGTATCTCACTGATTGTCATGGTTAATTCCCCTGATCTTTGGAAGCTAGATTATTACTAGCACGGTGGCATTTAACCACAGAATCCAGACCTTGAGGTCTTCAAGGGATATATCTGCCCAAAGGACAAAAGGTGGCACATGATCAGTGTTTATTATTAACCTGAAAACCCACATGCCAGAATGGATCATTCAATAACATGCTGATCTCTCAAAGAAATCCTTTCCCCTTATTGGAGACTACCTAGGCTAACGTGGAGGGAGACAAAGAAAAGCAAATGCATGATGCAGAGCAACAGGGATAGCCAAAGAAATGTACTTTATTTCTGCCTTCATGGATGTAAAAACTTTTCAAGAAGGAGAGTCTGCTTCCGTTTCCTAGCTACCACCCCAGGCATTCACAAATCAGGTAACCAAAGCAGCCTGCAGAAGAAAGATTTCCTGAAGAGACAGCCAAGAAGAATACACACCAAACCCCTAGCACTGTGGCCTGGTACGTAGTGAGCTGGGGCAGAGCAGCCCTTTTCTTCCTCAGAGATGAAGTGGAGGGAAGAGAAGGATTAGAGTTTTCTTTCCCTGAACACCGTCTCCATCTTCTCACTATCCTGTGTGCCCCTGTCTCTCGGCAATAAGATCAGCCAAGACACATCCAGTGTCCCAGACAGAGGACCCGGCACAGGTCCTCTCCAGGGCACCTCCAGTGCCGTGACTGCAAAGTGACTTGACTCGTCTCTGAGCTTTCCAAGGAAGGAAATCTGCACAACTTCTCTTGAGAGCACAACTTACTCCAGTGTTCAGAAAGTAGGGCTTTCAAGCAGTTCTTCCTATGACCATCTTAGGTTTCTTCTATTTTTTTCTACAATATTTTTTTTATTTTTAGAGAGAGAAGAGCATAAGACAAACACTGATATGAGAGAAACATCAATTGGCCACCTCGTGTACTCGTCCCAAGCAGGGATCGAACCCTCAGCCTTTTAGTATTTGGAAGGATGCTCCAACCAACTGAGCCACGCCAGCCAGGGCAAATTTCTGCCATTTTAATTTAAGCCCATTCTTCCTTACTTAATCATTGTGGTTCTGGAAACAGCCAGCTTACACCCTTCTCTTGAAGTTCCTTCATAGAAATGAAGACTTTAATAAGTCATTTTTAAACCCTCTTTTCCTCAGACTAAAACCACATTTCCTTTTCAAAATGTTTGTACATACATACCTTTTATATATGGATACATATGTCTATACATAAACATTTTTTAAAAAGGAAGTGGCATATATAGGGCATATAAAATGGTATAGATAAGCATATAGCTGTCATCCGTATACCCACTGCAGCTTAGGACATAATATGGACACACTGGGGGCCACTAACCCTCAATCCCTTTTCTTTACCTCAGATCGCAGACCAATTTTCCTTCAGGCTTTCTTCACAGGGCTTCTTTTCTCTTGTTCTCATTTACAAATGAACAAACTAAAAGCAACCCTGACAGTAGTAGGCAAAGGATCCAGGGAGGAAGATGAGTTAATGGAAATCTTTATTCCTCTGCAGTGGTCTTAATTCAGCATTTTGTAAATGCATTTTGGTAACTCTTTTAATGCTCCTCCAAATTCTTCTCATTCTTACACGTTGTTTTTAGAAAGCAGTGTCCCAGACTGAACATAAAAGAAATACTCAGTAAAACTCAATCTCTATCTTTCTAATGACAAAAGGGACAGTCGTCCCAGACCTAGTCCCCCAAATGAATGAATTCATTTGCTAATATTTTGCCTGGCATGCGATGCTGGCTGCAACTGGAATTTTAGCTGGCACTGTCCTCTGGTATACCTTCACATGGACTCTCCAGGTAGCCTGGGCTTCGTGGCAACCTGTTCGCTGGATTCAAAGGGCCCCAGGAGACAGAGCCAGGTGGAAGCTATGTCACCTCTTAACCTAGATTGCCACCTTGGAAATCACACAGTGTCACTTCCACCACATCCCGTTTGTTCGAGCAGCCTTAAAGGCCCAATGAGTCAAATAGATTCCACCACCTGATGGTAAAGTGGCAAAATTCTGGAAGAGCATGAGGATTGGAAACACCGTTGCAGCTGTTTTTGGAAATACGATCTCCCAGAACTACCAAAAATAATTTTGATTTTCATAAACTATTATTATAGTTGCACCCAAATCATAACAATATGTATAGAAAATTAATGAGAGCTGTGCAAGACCTTCATGCTAAAAACAAGGCATTTGGGCTCCCACAGAACAAAACTGAAGTAGTTGCTCTACCAGATCTCAAGTTATAGATACTATTACTATTCAAGACATGGTAGCATAGACATGTGAATAGATCACTGAAACAGAATGGAGAGTACAAAAATAGATCCATGCACATATGGTTAAATAATTTTGATAAAGGCAATAAACTAATTCAACAGGGAAAATATAGTCTTTTCTTTTGCTGCTACTGATTTTTTACAATGTTTATGATAAACGACACAAATGAAAGCCAGATGAAGAAATACAGGGAGCAAAGTCCAGAATGGTCCCAACTGCAGGACCTTCCCTCCCCACAGAGACAGGTGTGCCATGCTCCCAGCCTGTGCTCGTGTTCGCCGACTCAGAAGCTCTCTGAACGCCTTTCAGTCGGGTTTTTATGGAGGCTTCATTACACAGGCATCGCCGATTTCATCATTGGCAAATAGTGACCAACTCAAACTCCAGCCCTTCTCTCCCTCTCTGAATTGGGTGCAGGGGATGAAATGTCCAACCCTCTAATCACCTGGTTGGTTCCCCTAACAACCAGTTCCCCCTCCATAGGGGCTTTCCAAAATTCACCTTATTAATGTAATTTCAAGACGTTGAAAGGAGCCTGTTATGAGTAACAAAGCATAATCCCGATGTGCTCCAGAAATCACAAGGGTTTTAGCAAGTTTGTTCCAGGGACTGAGGATGAAAGAGCTAATGTATATTTCTTATCCTGCCACCATATCACTGGTGCTGAGTGGGCAGCCACGGCCCTGCTCTGCCACCCTCTCTTAGAAGGAACCCCCGTGTTATCCCAGCCCACAGGGAACGGTGAAGACCAACATGGCTGCGGACATCTGCTTAAGGTTTCCTGAAAGTCAGTAAACGATGTAGCAGTGAATAAAGCTGGTTTTGATTTAAACTACTTAACCATTAATGGCACCAGCAGCAATTTATCAAAGGTGAAAACTTCACTTTGATCCAGCTCTGTAGACCATGGGTTAGCACCATAAAGGGGAAGTGATCATAAAATGTATTCTGTTCCTTTTTTCTCCTACAAAATTGTACCTAGCAATTTAAAATCAAAGGCTGAACCTTAGGCTGTCCCTACCAGCTCCACACTCTAAGACTTGCTCTTCTGCTTTATTTAGAACCCACACAAATTCCATTCACAGCCATTTGGCCTTGTTCAACGCAATATTCCCTTGATTTTTTTCCATTTCCTACATGTATTATGGTCCCATTCCTTAAGTGATCACCATTAGTAGG